CGTCGCGCTACCCGCAGCATTGAGGTCTGATCACAGCGTGGTCTACTCATACGGCGACCTGTCGATGCGCGCCATATCAGGACACGGAGCGAGCGCTGACGAATACTTGACCCTTTCCTATTACCAGTGGAAGATGTGGCTTGGCAGGATGGACGAACCGATTGAACGCGCGTGGCCAAGCATCCGAGCTCGCTACTTTCATGGGTGACATCGAGAGAGTCTTTGATTCCAGTTTTGACGATGAGGACACCGAGACAGTCAGCTAGCGAATGAATCATCAGATCGGGAAGCGAATGCAAAGGGAAAGACGGAGTTCAAATAGGATGATCCGAGGGTCAATGAGACTCGCGGAGCGAATTTGACTGCCGCGCCTGCTTTGCCAAACGGCGAGCAGACGAGCTCGCGCTCGAAGAATGGGGCCCCGAGGAAACAGGCCCTGCGCAAGCGTTTCTCGGCGGGCAATTGCAAGGGCGTTTTTTGGGGGGCTCGGACATGGCAAGTGCGCCGTCGCGAGCAATGACAGACAAGCTGCAACTGACGAAAGCAATCTCGGCGGCGGAGGAACAGGCGACGAGAGGCGGCAAGCCCAGCAACGACGCTGGCGGCCGCAGCCAGGCTGCCACCACTGGCTCGAAAAGCGTGGAGTCGCAGCAGACGTCGAGAGCATCACCTCAGACTTCGCGGGGCCCCAGGAACCTTCAGGAGCCAAAAGCTGCAACCTCATCATCGACGGGGGGCCGAGGAGACGAAGTTGCCCCACGCTGGGCCTGCAAACATGGATCGCGCAATGGCAAGCGCGGGAGAAGTGAACACCGCGCATCGACTGACGTCGAGAAGGCCGCCCGCGATCATGGGAAGCACGGATCGCCTCCGGCAAATCTACACTTGCACCCGGCAAGGGCCGCAAGATGGGCAAGGGCAGCTTAACGCGCCGGCGCGACCAAGGGACGAAGACGCGCCCCCACAGCACCACGCTCTTCTTCCACGACAGTACGCTAGGACATCCTCGACAGGAGGGCCCGGCCCTGGGGGGCGACCTCCCCGGGGCTGCGCCCAGGACCGACGTCGGCACTTCTCTGCTCGACGACGGATGGTCAAGGCGGGGAGTCGGATGAATCCGAGGTTTAGCTCTAGGGCTGCGCGGCACACGGAGGAGGCGCAATCGCGACGCCCACGTTGATTTTGACGCGGCGCCCGCTCTCCACCCCAGTTTTACATGTCGAGTGAAGATGCGCATAGGTTAGCGGCGAAGTCTGATAGCGAGAATTACGCTTTGCTGGCCAGGAGGGGGCGGCGTGAGATCGAACGATCGCTCTTTCAAGTAATTGGAATTACTCCTTTCAGAGGGGCCATGGAGTTGGTCTCGTCTCGCTCGCACAGCAGGCCAGTTCTTCGGAGGGGGGGGCGAGTCCCGACGGCGAGACAGATCGGCCAGTTCAGGCCCGAACCCCGATCTCGGCCGCGAGCCCAGACATGGCAAACACTGCGAGCCTCGGACGGGCGTTCCGAAGGCCGCAGAGACCACCGATGAGACGGCCATCCAAGTCTCCCCCACGCACGCGGCAGCAGCGGGGGAATCGCATCGCTGCCAAAATTGTTGTGTCCAAAGCTTTCTGGAGTTAGAGCACGACGTCCGTTCCTGTCACCAGTGGACTGAGCAGGAGAGGGGGCCGCAGGGCCCAGCGAGACTCGGATCGACGAGGTTCTCGTCGATACTCCGCGCGGCTACAAGTCTACCGCCACAAGGGCCGCTCCAAAGGGAGGAACTTCGAGACGCGCGGTTCCTCCAAGGACCCCAATGATCTCGAGCGCAGCCGGGGGGTCAAAGTCGAGCCCTCGGGATGCGGCAGAAGCACACGGGGGAATTGTTGATTCCATAGTGGCGCTCGAAGCACCCAGCGGATAATCGGCGAGCGGGGGCGCGATTGATTTCGGTTGTAGTTTCGCACGGGGCATGGGGGCATCCTCGCAGAGTTGCCCAGCGGAAGGAGATTCTATCTCACGGTCGAGGGTAGGATCCCGCATCCAACTGTCGCGGCCAGAGCAGCGCCGGTTCGAGTGGACGCGGCAGCCGCTGACGAATGCGATATTATTTCACAGCGGCCAACGAGACACATCTGATGGGCCCATGCAAGGCGGGGGGGGCCCTCCGACCCGACTGTCCGCGATAAAGATTCTGCCCGCGCGCGGGAGGCGTCGCGCTGGCGCCGCGGCAATCGCGGCGGGGCCGAAGCCGGCGATGGTGACCATGGCCACGGAGCAGATTCGGCGGAAGGAGGCGCCAAGAGGGGGAGCACCCACGCATCGGATGATGGCCCTCGCGGCAAGCACCATTCTTCTGGCTAGAGAGAAAGCACAGGCAAAGCAAGGTTTAAATGTGAGGCCTGGACAGCAAAGACGCGTCATCCTCTGGGAACCAGCGGAATGACGCGAGCTCCTGGTGGACCAGCGGAGAAAATGGCGGAAACATTAGCGGCTGGTCGACCGACGATCGGTGGCAGAACCGCACTGGGCGCAACGATGGAGCGCGTGGAGTTCAGGAAGCAGCCAGCGGGCGAACCGCTCCTGGACTGCGAGTTCGAGTCGAGGCTGGGATGGCAGCTCACGGCGAGCGAGGTCGAAGCGCGGCCCCCGGGGGGCCAGCGGCGACCGACGGCCTGCCGAGAAACACCCCAACAATATATATATATATATATATATATATATATAATATATATATATAAAAAAAAAAAAAAAAAAAAAAAAAAAAAAAAAAAAAAAAAAAAAAAAAAAAAAAACTGGGCTGCGTCAAGCTACTGCGCCCTCGCCTCTCCAGTCTTGCTCGGTGGATTCATCGCCCCATCAGATGGGAAGCTGGCAGTTTTAGTCATCAGGTGTTTTCTCGGACAAGAAGAAAAACACTGCCGCGATTTCGCCTCTGCCGCCGGCGCACAAGCGCCGCTCGGACAGGCGGCGCCGTAGAACTGCTTGCACGGTTCGCGCCCCCCGACGAAGTGCAGCGAAGGCTGTCGCGCGGGGCGAAGTGGATCCGGCACCCGCCGCGGGGGGCTCGTTCGGGGGCGGATGGAAACCCCACCTTGACACGTCGATTCGTGAATTGTCCGCTTTCGGTTCTCGAGAGGGCGCCGCGGCTGTCATTTTCCAGGTTTGTGCCCGCCCGGTTTGGGCCCGAGGTCGGTTTCATTAAACAACGTTTTACTTAAATGGGTTCTGTCCATCCCCTGGTTTCCATTCGCACGCCGCGGCGCGCGTTTAGCTCCAGCTGCCCGCGAGGAATGGTACGCAGTTCGCGCCCGAGCAAAAACTATATGCGCGTCCCTTGTCCGTGGAGCGCGCGTATAATTTCACGTTACCTTATTTCAACGTAGTGGATAGTCATCGCCATGTTGCACGACATCGTTAAGAGACCATCCCATCTACAAGATCCACGCGAAAAGGATCCTTTGAAATTGGAAAAGGGATCAAAGGAGACGCTCTTTCGTCATGGAATCGATTACTAGACGAAAGATTGTTTCTATGAGGTGAGTGAAAGTTTCATCATTGTTCCTCCCCGCCTGCCCCTTCTGATCAGGTTCCTCCTGCTCCCGCTCCTTACCCTCAGATTACTGCTGTTCCATGTCATTCCCCCTCCTCCTTTGCGTTGTGTCTTGGAGGGCGGGGAGGTTGGTGGAGGCGCGGGCTGCGCTTTAATTTCAACGCCTCAAGGAAAAACATGTGTTGCCAGGCCCAGGGTGTTCGTTATTGCTGCTTGCCCCCCACTTCCCTCTCTCCTCCCGCATCCTCCCTCATCCCTCTCCTTCTTCCTCCGCGTGGAGAAAGAAGACCCCCAGAGAGTTTTAGAGCCCCCCAGAGCGCAAAACATCTGACGACTGTCGGCGTGGTCCCCGAAAAACAGTTTCTAGATCTCCCGATGTGCAGTCGATGGGGCACCACCCATGGAGCAATTGGGCGGCAACCAGGAGCGGCAGCAGATGTGGCAGCAGAGCGCACCAGCCACAGCCATGCTGCTCGGTTTCGGCGGCCGTCGTACTGCCCCGCGTCTCACGCTGCGGCGCAACTCTGCTGTTGTCATACGCAGTTCATATTCGGCGGCGAGCCCGGGGGGGAAATGAAAAAGGGCGGGCCTTCTCAGAAGAATTGGAAGTCCCCCAGTTTTTGAGAAGTGTCATAAGTCTTCCCCGACGACACAAGAGAATTCTCAGAAGGCGCGAGGCCTTCTGAGAAGTCCCGCCGCCTTCTGAAAAGGCATTTTCCTTCATGCCCCCCCGCGCTGGCCGCCAAACAGCCCAGCGACCCCACCTGGGGAGAAGACCCTCCCGTCGCGATGACTCCTCCTAGTTACCCTTATTGTCCTCCTCCTCTCTTCCTCCTCCTCCGCTTTCTCCTTTTCCTCCTCCTCTTCCTCCTCGCTCCTCCTCGCTCGTCCTTGCCCCCCTCGCTCGCCGCCGACATATGCAATGCCCGATACGTTGCTTCGACGGTGCCGCCCCCGGACCCCCCACGTAAAAAAACGCCCCAAACTCCGCCGTCAAGGTAACTCCGATTTCAACATTGAAATTTGGGGGCAAGGGGGTTCTGAACACAGCAGCGTTGTCAACTATGCTTGGTAGGCTTGTTTAACGCCAACGGCGGTAGGGCAGCAGATGCGGCAGCCACAAATCACGGCAGACTGGGGCATCGTAAGGAACCAGCCGTGGGTATCATGTGGCACACCCACAGGGCACTGAGGTGACAACGAGAAATTGCAGCAGACGTTTGGAATATCTTCTGACACATGTACGAGTTTCCTGATTATGTGCAAGCGCTGTTTGAAAATCAGAAAGCCCAAACACCTTCGTAAACGCATCCCTCCTGCCAACTTCCCTTCCAGGAACCAGACAAATATTGGTGAAAGAATCCGAGAACCTCCAGTGACATCTGGAAGCTTCCTAGAACCTGGAGCATTTGGCCTTAATTACCGACGTTCGAAAATCCATGTCCTTCCGTCCACGTTCCTTCATCTCCCTTCCTTCCCCCCACTATTGTCTACTCCTTCTTCTCCTCTGGTCGATGACCCGACGACGCCTCTTTTGGCTCAGGCGTGCGGCTCAGGCGGGCGGCTCAGCCGCCGCGAATCTGCTACCTCATCTTCTCATTAATTGCTAGTGCAGTCAGGCAAATTCCCAGCACAGAACGTGGAGGGGAGGAGGAACAAGAGCAGAAGGAGGGGAACGTGTGGGGGAGAGGTCCTGGAGGTTCTCAGGGTTTACTGGGGGAGGTCTGTTAGGGAGTCCTTCGAGGCGTGGGGTGAGAGTCCTTGAAGTGTACTGGTCCCCGTTCGCCGTCCTGCGACTGTCTACTATGCCGCTTCAGGAGTTCAGCGAGCAGGGTGCATGGTTCCTCCTCCTCCTCCTCCTCCTCCTCCTCCTCCTCCTCCTCCTCCTCCTCCTCCTCCTCCTCCTCATCCTTCCTCCTGCATTCTTCCCCTTCCGCCTCGTCATACTCCGCCCCCTGCGATCGAGAGCTTCCTGGTAGCGTGTCGCTCCGCCAGTTCTGGTCCACTGCCCTTCGGTGCGACATGCTATCCACTTAGAAGGCCCTGAGGCGCCAACGTCCCGAGCTTTCCCGAGCCTTCCGCCCCGGGCAGCGGAGAGGCACGCTTTCCGCTTGCAGGGCACAGCGTGTCGTCGAGGCCGCCGCGCCGACACGCTGAACAAATATTACCGACCGTACTTCCCTCCTCCTCCTCCCATATCATCCATCCATCCATCCATCCATCCCCCCTCCCTCCTCCCTCCTCCATCCTCCTTCCTCCCCGCTCCCTCCTCCCTCCTCCTCCTCCTCTTCCTCCTCCGCCTCCTCCTCCTCCTTCTCCCCCCTCCCTCCTCCCCAGACTGTTGCTTATTATGTTTGATGAATGTCCTCCCGTGGAAGGGACAGGCCCGACTTAGGGCTAGGAGCGGTCTGCAAGCCCTCCTGGCTCGGCCAGAAGGCACACGCGCCGTTCCTGGACCCAGGCTGGACCTGGCCAGGGGCGATGGACATGTGTATACCTCGCCGCCTCCCGAGTGGCGGATCCCGCCCTTTCTTCCTCCTCCTCTCTCCTCCTCCTCCTCCTCCTCCTCCTCCTCCTTCTCCTCCTCCTCCTCCTCCTCCTCCTCGTCCTCCTTCTCCTCCTCCTCCTCTTCCTCCTCCTCCTCCTCCTCCTCCTCATTGCCTCGTTTTCATTCACCATGCTTGCCGGAGCACCTGAGACATCATGCTCAAGACTGCACTGGACAACGTCCTCCTGTCGGATGGCGCTGCTCGGGCTTTGTGCGCTGGCGCTTCCTTTCGCCGTCGGCAGCCCACGCCGGGGAGTCAGACCCATTGCCCTCTGATCTGGAGATTTGCCATTGGCGATCTCGCCGAACGTTGGGAATGGACATGTCCCGCCCACTGTGGGCGGGAAGACGCACATATCCAACCCGACCCGAAGTTCCCCGGGGGCACGCAGCGAGATCGGTGGGTATGCCCAGAACCCTGACGTCGCGATTCATTCCCAACGCGGACCAGATGTTTCCACCATCTCCCTGGGATCATTGGTCCTTCATCTTGAGTAGTGTTTTCATTGTCCTGGGGCCTCGCAATGGCCCACAGAAGGAGAACAAATACCTAATTTGTCCGTCGTGGTTTCCTTGTAGTAGTTCCAGCTCAGGGTTCTCTTTGTGTTGTCGGGCCTCTGGCCATAAAACAAAGGGGTGCAAAGCAAAGCGCGTCGGAGTTGCCGGTGGATTCTTCAGATGTGAGGATCGGGAGCCTTGAGACCGGGGCCAGTGCAAACGGGGGTCAGCCAGGGCGCCAGATCTTGCAGGATTTTTCAGAGCCAGGGTACATTGACCCAGGCTTGCAAAGCCCGACTGACCCGGGTTCGCACTGACACGGGTCAGTAGAAGCCGGAGGTACGTGGTCGAGGCACCAAAGGGGAGTTAGCTAGCACGCGCCTCGGCGTGCAACTGGCACGTGCTACCACAGGCGTAGGCGCCGCAGGGGGGTATTCAACATGCGCCTGGCACTCGTGCCGACGTGCAAAAGAGGGCCCAGAAGGGGACTGTCCAGCACGCGTGGGGCACTGTTGCGCTCATATATGCCTGGCACGTCCTTCTCCTGGTCAGGGCTCCAGCCCAGGGTTCTCTTTCGGTGGACGGGCCTTTGGACCTAGACTGGGGCGGGGCACAGCAGATGGCGGTGGAGTCTCTGCACCTATACACGCGCGCGGAGGTATCGGCGCGCGTGTCCATGGTTAACATGTCTTCATGCACGCAGGCGCCAATGGGGGTATCCAACATGTGGTCAGCAGATTCCTCACAGCCATGTCTCCAACATATGGTCAACATGTGGTAAGCAGATTCCAACATGTGGTCAACATGGGGTATCCAACATGCACGGAGGCGAGTTCCAACATGCGCTCGGCACACCTGCATGTGGCACTTGTTTTCACGCGTGTGGACGCAAAGGGAGATGTTCAACATGCGGCTGGCGGATTCTTCACACGTAGATTTACATGCGCGGAAGGGAGAGGTCCTACATGATTTCGGCATGTCTGCAGCTAACACATCTCTGCTCGTGTGTAGGCCCCAGGGGGATCCGTCATGCAGTTGGCGGCAGATTCCCCACACTTCAAGCAATACGCACGTGGATGGGTATTCAATATGATACCGGCAGCGAGGGGGCCACGAAGGGCTGCAACGGGACCACGAAGGGCAGCGAGTGGGCCACGAGGGGCTGCGACGGGGCCACGAAACAAAGCGAGGTGGCCACGAAGGGTTGCAACGGGGCCACGAATCAAAGCGAGGGGGCCACGAAGGGATGCAACGCGGCCACGAAGGACAGCGAGGGGGCCACGAAGGGCTGCAACGGGGCCACGAAGGGCAGCAAGGGGGCCACGAAGGGCTGCAACGGGGCCACGAAACAAAGCGAGGGGGCCACGAAGGGCAGCGAGGGGGCCACGAAGGGTTGCAGCGGGGCCACGAAACAAAGCGAGGGGGCCACGAAGGGCTGCAACGGGGCCACGAAGAGCAGCGAGATTCCGATTCCTAAGTAATCTGTGAGGGAGTCCTCAGCGGGAGCGCGACTCTTGGGTTCCTGAGTGTCGGGAGCGCGGCGCTCGAGTAAATTGCAAGATATTCCAAAGCGAGCGCGACTCCACAGCGCCGAGAGAGTGATTTCTGAATAAATCGTAAGGAAGTCCCAAGCGAGAGCGCGACTCCTGAATAAACTGCGAGGAGGTCTCAGGCGGGAATGGGGGTCCTGGCTAAATTGTGAGGAAGTCCCAGGCGGGAGCAGTTGTTGTTGTAACCCGGGGGGCAGGGGCCCAGTTTGAGGAGATTCTCTCTATTAGAAAGCAGGGTGCAAGCGCCAGGACGGGCACTGCAATTGAAAAAATACAAGTGCATTGGAGGAGGGGGGATCAACAAAAATTGTTCAGCCGTGAGAGGTCAACAACAACAACAACAACAACAACAACAACAACAATCATTTTAAGACTGTTCGCTCTGATCTGCTCGAGTGTCCGTCGATACCCGCCCTTTTCGTCTTTGATCGTACCCCTTTTGGGGGGTATACTTTTCTCCCCTGCAGGCCGGGCCCCGGCAAGCGGCGGGGCGGCCGCGGATTGCCGGCCTGGCCAGCGGCAGCGCTGATCGGCGGCATCTTGACCCCAAGAGGGACGGACAGGGGACCGACCACGACGACGACGTCGGCGACGACGACGGCGACGACGACGACGACGAGCGAAAGCGAGAACGAGAGAGAGAACGACAGCAGGGCCACGAAGGCACGAAGTAGGCCACGAAGGGCGACAGCGGGGACACGAAGGGAATGCGCATGAGGCCACGAAGAGCGCGAACGAGCGGGGGCCACGAAGGGCAGATAATGCGGGGCCACAGAAGGTAACGACGGGGCCACTGAGGGTACGGGCCGCGTAGGACAGCGAGGGGGCCACGAAGGGCTGCAACGAGGCCACGAAGGGCACGCACATGGGGCCACGACGGGCGCGAACGAGCAGGGGCAACGAAGGGCATGAGGGCAGCGAGGGGGCCACGAAGGGTTGCCACGGGGCCAATAAGGGCAGCGAGGGGGCCACGAGGGGATGCAACGGGGCCACGAAGGGCAGCGAGGGGGCCACGAGGGGCTGCAACGGGCCACGAAGGGCAGCGAGGGGGCCACGAAGGGCTGCAACGGGGCCACGAAACAAAGCGAGGCGGCCACGAAGGGTTGCAACGGGGCCACGAAGGGCACCGAGAGCGCCACGAAGGGTTGCAGCGGGGCCACGAAACAGAGCGAGGGGGCCACGAAGGGCTGCAACGGGGCCACGAAGAGCAGCGAGGGGGCCACGAAGGGCTGCGACGGGGCCACGAAGGGCAGCGAGGCGGCCACGAAGGGTTGCAACGGGCCCACGAAGGGCAGCGAGGAGGCCACGAAGGGCTGCAACGGTGCCACGAGGTCAGCGAGGTCTTGATTCCTAGGTAGTCTGTGAAGGAGTCCTAAGCATGAGTGCGGCTCCTGGGTGCCTGAGTGTCGGGAGCGCGGCGCTTGAGTAAATTGCAAGAAATTCCAGCGCAAGGGCGTTATTCTTGAGTACATTGCAAGCAAGTCTCCAGCGAGAGCGCGACTCCAGAGCTCCGAGAGAGCGATTCTTGAATAAATTGCAAGGAAGTCCCAAGCGAGAGCGCGATTCCAGAATAAAATGCCAGGAAGTTTCGGGCGGGACGGGGGTCTTGGCTAAATTGTGAGGAAGTCTCAGGCGGGAGCCGTTGTCGTTGTAACCCAGGGGCCAACAACGCAGATTGAGGACGAAGGCTTTCCCTTATAAAAAAGGGTGCGAGCGCTGGGGGGGGGACTTTGATTCACCAAAAACAACGTGCACCGGAGGGGGGATCGACAAGAATTATTCTTCAGTAGTGCGAGTACAACAACAACAACAAGAGCAGCAACAATTGTTTTACCCTCATGCGCGATGCTTCCACACGCAGCATGCGACCATCATGATTAAAAAGAACCACCATGGGGGATTATTGTTCTACCGCGGGGGTCCGTTATTCCCATTCCCAGACCTCCCGCCCAATGAGGTTTTGCAATCACCTCTTCCGAGGAATTTGAACATATCCCGCCTCGAAACCACATGCCCGCGCCCTGCCACGCCGATGCGAGACCGTCAGTGGAGCCCCAGCCGAGGGAAAAGCACAAGGAAGTATCGAGCGACAGGATTGGTGAGGATGGGGGCTGTCGGCGGCGAGGCAAGGACCTGGCCCTGAATAGAAAGGGAGGAAGTCTCGAGCAGGGGTGCTGTTGTTGCTGGGAGCGGCGCCAATGCAGAAGGGAGTAGGGCGCTAGTCCAGCGCCAAACAACACGAAGTCTCGAGCGGGAGCGCTGGTTCTGTTGGGACGGCGGTTGTCGGCGGCGAGGAGGAACGAGGGAAGAAGTCTCGAGCGGGAGCCGCGGTTCTGTCGGGATGGGGGCTGTCGGCGGCGAACAGCACCGTCTTCAGGAAAAAGGGAGGAAGCCTCGAGCGGGAGCGTTGTTCTTGCTGGGGGCGGCGCCAATTCAAAAGAGACTTGGGCGCCAGTCCAGCGTAAAACGGGAGGAAGTCTCGGGCGGGAGCGTTGGTTTTTGTTTGGGCAACGGTTTTCGGCGGCGAGCAAAAGCACCAGCTCTGAGTAAAAACAGGAAGTCTCGAGCGGGAGCGTTGTTCTTGCGGGGGGCGGCGCCGATGAGAGAAAGAGTAGCGCGCCAATCCAAGGTAAAACGGGAAGAAGTCTCGAGCGGGAGCGTTGGTTTTGTTGGGGCGGCGGTCTCGGCGGCGAGCAAGAGCACCGGCTCTGGGCACAAATGGACGAAGTCTCGAGCGGAATCGTTGTTGTTGTGGTTGGAGGACGGTTTTGGCGCCCCCCCAAACCGCTCAAGCGTGAGCCTCATTTTCAATGAAAATGTAGCCGGCGCCGAGGCGAGAGCGCCAGAGCGCCACAGGGGGGTCCAACAATAATAATCGCGCAGTAATCAACATTCATCATCAACAACAACAACAACAACCACAACAACAACAAAAACAACAACAACAACAACAACAACAACAACAACAACAACAACAACAACAACAACAACAACAACAGCAACAACAACAACAGCAGCAGCAACAACAGCAACAGCAACAGCAATAACAACAGCAGCAGCAACAGCAACAGCATCAGCAACAATAGCAATCATGTTAAGACTGTTCGCTTTTATCTGCCCGCGTGCCATTCCAACACGTCTATACCCATCCCTCGATACCCGCCCCCTTCGTCTTCGACCTTATCCCCATGGGCAGAGACCCCCTGGGCGTGGAGAGGCAGCGTGACCGTGTCGGCACCGGGCCGACGCCACGGCGCGCCGCCGTCCAGCGTCACCGTGGGCTCCTTGGTGCAGCGCCTGCAGCGCGGCGCCCTCGGCGGGAACGCCAGCAGGCACCTCGAGGCCATCACGGGCCTCGGCGAGCAGCTCACGCTGGACCGCGGGCCGAGCAGACGCAGCTCGCGGCCCCTCTTCCCTTCTCCCCTCCCTGTTGCTGCTGAGCACGGGGGGGCGGCTGCCTCTGTGCCCGCGGGAGCGGCTTCTGTCGGCTTGCCTTCGGCGCGCGCCGGTCGCTTCTCGGCGGCATACAGGCAAGACGCTGAAGTGAAGGCCACGAAGATCTCGGGCCGAAGAGAATCTGGGCCGCCCACGTGGGGTCAGAGAAGATGGGATCAGAGGATCGCGCCGCATCGGCCTTGCATTGGCGATGCGGCTCGATGTGGAGCCCCATGATCCCACGCCAGCGTCCCCGATGTATCGCCGAGGCGGCGCGATTCTCCGGCCCCGTCTACCCAGACCCTGTTTGGAAGGCCTGTACATCGAGCTTGAATCGGCGACACTCCGCCAACTGATCGGCGCTAAGACCGCGATTGCGAAAGTGCAGGTTCCTGGACATGAGGAGGAGGAGGAGGAGGAGGAGGAGGAGGAGGAGGAGGACGAGGAAGAGGAGGCGCCGGAGTAAAGGAAGGACCATTTGGGGCTCGGGAGGAGGCTCCAGAGATCCGACGCTCCCAACAAGAATGGGAGCGGCAGGCTTTTTTGGCCGTTCTCGGCCTCCGGGAGCCCTCGCCAGGCCTTGGAACCGTCAAGAAACGATTCAAGACGCAAGAACGGCCAGATCGGGAAACTCATTCGTGGCCGAGGACTGAAGGGGCTCAAGAAGCCCCTGTCGTTCTTTCTGCAGCGCTCTTTCCTGCAAGAGCCTCGGCAGGCAGCCTCACGCTGGACTGGGGGCCCCAGATCAGAAGAGGGACAAGTACCGATACCACTGCCCTTCCCCTGTTTAGGCCTTCCTGGGCCTCCTGGGAGGCCCTCGTTGCCACAGCCGAGTTCGCTTCGGAATTCTGGTCAGAACGCATCGCTTAAGAGGTCCGCGGAGTTGCGGTATCGGGACCTTTTTGTCCCCCACCCAGAAGAGAGGCAGCGGCATATACACGAAGGAATTTTCTGGAGGTCCGCGCGGGCTTCGGGGGGTGACAATGTAATCCCGCGGCGGCGGGGTTTCTTGGAGTGACGATAAACCCGTGGCGGCGCCTTTGGCTTCGACACAAGGAATTCACGCGGACCTCCGAATGTTTACGATCATATACTTGTCTACTCTCCCAGTGGAGGGGGAGAAGGAGGAGGAGGTGGGGGAGGAGGAGGAGGAGGAGGAGGAGGAGGAGGAGGAGGAGGAGAAGAGGAATGAGAAGAGGGATGAAAGCGAGGAGTGGGACAAGCTAAGTGCGCTCGCGCCACATGTCATCCTAGCCCTCCCACCCATCCCTCACCACTGAGTTGAATATCTTTCAATGTGTCAGTTGGGGTGTCCTAGAGGACCTTAGTGCCCAACTGGCAGTTGCTGGATCCGCTTCGAAAACAGGTCAGTATGGACCCAGGGAGGGGTCTGGGGACCGATGATGCACAGGCAGTGGAAACCCATGCCAAGAAACACCCTGCTTGCCTCTAGGGTGCCCTCGGTGTCTTGTGTTCCGATGGTTTTGCTGTGAAAAGCGTGACGTTCCCACACCAGACATCAATGGACGTCCTGGGATCTCGGGGTTGGGTTTCTTGTCGATCGCGTGGTCGTGCTCCTATCGTGCTTAGGCTGGGCGGGAGAGCCCCACAATTGGCCCTCTGCTGAAACTCGTTGTTTGCCACAACTGCTGACGGCGGGTTGCCGCCGCCGCCCTTGGCGACATCTCGGAGTCGGACGCTCGCACGCCACGCCGCCAAACATGACATCGTCGCGTCGTGCAAGAATCACCGCGGGAGGTCATACTGTTTTCGGCCCCCGTGGACCTTCACCAGGCCCCTGCACCATCAAGAAACGACACAGGATGAGAAGCCTGCTCTGAAGAGCCACGCTGCGAGCAAGATCACGACGTCGGATGTTCGGGCAGGGGGGTGCGCTGTCAAAGGGCCTGCGTGCGAAGCGGCAAGCGGAGCAAGGCCCAGCAGGTCTGGAAGGCCCTTCACGAGGCCAGCTGGAGGCCTAACAAGTTGTGGTCCGCAGAGGGGGTGACGCGTCGGCGGCGCCCCCCGACGCTGCCGCCGCGGCCTCGCGGGCGGGTGGCAGCACTCCCGGAGGCGACGGCGAGGCCTCGGGACAGCGCAGGCGACCCTCACCGAAGAGCAACTGCTCAAAACACGAAAGGACGACCTGCGTCCGCTCGTGGGGCCCCCCGGCAGTCGTGCGCGGAGCACTGGTCGCCGTGCACGTCGGTCGCATGCCGACGGTCGCGAAGCCGAGCGACGGCGCCAGGAAACGTGGCCCCCAGGTGGGCAGGACGAGGCGGGGGCGGTCCTGATCCCTGGCATCGCTCGGACGTGTGCATTCTTCTCTCGGCGAGAACCATCGAGGAGCATCCTTGATCATTTGGCGAAACAGCCACGCACGAAACCGAAAAAAAACACAGGGAATGGACGTCCGAGCGATGGCCCGGGTCGGAGGAGGTCCGCCGGAGCGCCCTGGAAGCCCAGGCCCTGGTGGGTGCGGCCGGATCGCCGGTCGCCGCGAGCGGGCGGCGCGTTCGCGGGCGCCGAAGTGGCGCACCTGGGAAGGCACTGGGCGACACAACGTTCGCCGCGTGGCCGAGCCTGTGCGCGCCTCGATGCCGAGCGCGCTGCCTGGCGCGGGGGTGCAACTCGGAGAGTACACGGGGCGCGCCACTGAGGCGACTGGGAGCGGGGGCAAAAGGCAGTACGGGGATGCAGTCGATGCGCGACGTCGTCAGTAATAACATGGTTGCAGAGTTGTTCATCTCCCCAGGGACTGGATGGAACGAAAACCCGTTTCGAGTTCGAGCGCGCGATTAGGTCCCATCGCATTTCGGCCGGTGAATGTAGGACGATACGGTCAAAACACAGCATCGCGCTCGCCCGTTTCAATTTGCTCGACATGGGCGCGTCGCGTTGGCTCGACCAGACAAACGAATTCATCCGGTACAGTCCGTGTTTCTGGGAGGTCATTTGGCGACCCAGTGTTCGGCGCATGACCGAGCTTGCAAAGCGTTTCCATGCTAAGCGCGCTGAGGTGTTTCACTCGGAGGAGAAATACTCCGAGACGGGGACTCATCCACAGCCACCGGCCTGTGGAATCGATCTTCGAGGACCGCGGCAGCGGTTGATATGGATGTATTCGGGCCTTGAGGGACAAGTGTATCGACATCCACCGCCTGCCGAGGTTCTCGTAGATCGATCCCCCAGGTGAAGTGATCTAGAATTTCCCGCCTTGCAAGTACGGTAGATCAGGGGGGCGACTGGGGACGGGAGCACAGGGCAATACAGGGATTCGATTGTGGACTCCTGGCAACAATAGCATTGCATGGTTGTGTATCCCACCAGTGATTGAATGAAGCCCCGTGGCGGGATCAAGCGCGTCATTGCCCCCTCCCCTCATCTACCCACAGTACCTCCTCCCACTCCTTCTCTATCCACCCCTCCCTTCCTCTCCCTCACCCCCTTCTCTGTTTTTTTCGTATACCTCATCCTCCTCATCCTCCTCCTCCTGGTCCTCCTCCTCCTCCTCCTCCTCCTCCTCCTCCTCCTCCTCCTCCTCCTCCTCCTCCTCTTCCTCCTCCCCGCCCACCACCCGCCATCCACCCTTCTCTTCTGCCTGCTCAGATCCTTTGGCCTCCTCATCCTTGTCTCATCCTCCTCAGCCCCTGCTCCACCGCAGGCAGGACCGCCTCTTTGCCGGTCCCAGGGCCAGGGCAATTGCCCCCTCGGAGTGCCGAAGAAAAAACAATGCCAGTGTTCTCGAGGCGAGGGGGGGAGGGAGGGACGCAGATCGGCGGCGCGCACAGGAGGGATGGCACAGTGGGCGGGCCTTCTCAGAAGGCTCGGAGGAGGAGGAGGGAGGAGGAGGAGGAGGAGGAGGAGGAAGAGGCCTGGCCCCGCTCATGTCCCCCCTCGGCGCGCCGCCGAGAAGAGCAGTCTCGCTGCCCTTGTTGCTGAGGCTGCCCCGACTCCTCGGGGGCCCCCCCCTCGCCGCCCCAGAGGACAGCTGGCTGTCCACCGGGCCCGAAGCTCTGCAGGCGTTGAAGACGAAGTTCTTCAGCAAGGACGATGTCCTCCTCCTCCTCCTCCTCCTCCTCCTCCTCCTCCTCCTTCTCCTCCTCCTCCTCCTCCTCCTCTTCCTCCTCCTCCTCCTCCTCCTCCTCCTCCTCCTCCTCGATGACGGTCCTTATCCTAAAGCCGCCTCCCGACGTGGGCAGGCAGCCCATCGGCCTGATGGAGCTCTGGCCTCGGGTGTGGTCGAAGATTCGCCAGGGCCTGGTCCGCGCCTGGGAGCGCTCGGTCGACGCCGATTTCTTTTGGGGCAAGAGCGGGGACACGGCGGCGGACCGCGCAGCCTACATCCACAACTTGCTCGTAGTGCACGCCAAGCGCCACGGATTCGTGTCTGGGACGTTGTATTTCGACGTCAGCAAGTTCTTCGAGAACGTCTCCCACTGCATATTGGTTGTGGCGCCTCGGCACTTCGGCTTCGACCTGCAGCTGCTGAGGTGCCTATGCGCGATCTACCGCGGCCCGAGGCGGGCCAGGTGGCTCGGCGCCACGTCACGGGCGGTGCTGCCCAACGGCACGGTGATCGCGGGCTGCAGCTGCGCGACTGGCGTGGTGAAGCTCCTGACGCTGAGCGTTCTCCGGCAGATCGTGGTGGAGACGCCCGTTGTCCGGCCGCTGAATCTCGTCGACGACCTGAAGGTCCACGCGGTCGGCACGCTCCGCACGGTGTGCAGCCAGCTGGTCGCGGCAGCCAACATGGTGATCAAAGAGATGGAGAAGCTCGACCTGCCATTGAACTTGCTGAAGACGTGCGTCCTCTGTACGACGTCGGAGCTCGCGGCTGCGCTGTTGGCGGACAGTCGCTGGCCGTTCGATGAGTCTTTTTTCGCCTCGCCTCCGACGGCAAGGGCCGTCGGGTGCCCACGCAGCGTGCTCGCCTGTCTGCCGCGTCGGCCGCAGCGACTAGGCTCACCAAAATCGGGCGGGGTAGGGTGGCTTCTCGGGTCCACAGGGCGGGTCCAGTCGCTAAGGCCACGTGGGGTGCACACATTAATCGTCTTGGGAATTCGGCTCTGCGGACTCTGAGGGTGGCCTCTGCCAGGTCTTTTGGCCCCCTTCAGCCTGGCTCCTCCCTTAGCCTCACCTTCCTCCTTTGTGGGGCCCCCCAGCGCGACCCTCTCGTTTCAACGACGGTGGACGCCGTCAAGGCGTTTGTCTCAGTTTGGTGGCACCGCAGTGTCACGAAGCAGGTGCTCCTCTCGGCGTTTGAACACGCGCTCCTGTCTGCGAGCAAACCCAGGCCCTGGGGCTCCGCCAAGCAGCCTCTGGCTGCCCTTGTACTGACGCTTGCTCGGATCCGTTGGAGGTTGGATGTCCCAAATGAGGTTTTGGTCGACCAGGCGGGTCGCTCCTGGAGTTTGTCTGAGTTTTCCCCAGCTTTCTTCGCCCTTCGCGTGCGCGAAGCGTGCGAGGAAGCTATTGTGATGGAAGAGCAGGTTCGGCAGAGTGATTTTGGCGCCGAGTGGCGCGGCCCCATCTGTCTCAAGCCGGCCCTCGATTTGATTTCGAAGCAAAGCTCGGTCTGGTCTGATCATTGTCGTCACTGCTTGCGCAGCCTGATTGCCAACAGGTATTGGTGCCAGCAGCGTTTTCACGACGCCTGTCAGGACATCTCTCCTGCTTGTTTGGTCTGCCAGGCTCCCTCGGGCACCATGTTTCATCGTCGCTTCGATTGCCCTGCCCACGAGGCGTGGCGGCGAGATGTGTTGAGCCCGGACTTGCGTCGGGCGGCGGATAGCGTGCGCCTCCTCTCACCCAGAGCCCAGGAGCTGTTCGCCAGGTGTGTGCTCCCTGACCCCACTTGTTGGTTCACTCGCCCCTCTGAGCACCCCGATGCCACGGTCTACAGGCACAATTGGCCCGCCGAAGGCTTGGTGCTTGGGGAGGGTGCGCATGTGTTCATAGACAGCTCGTGCTACGAGCCTGCTCTCCCTAAGATTCGATCGGCGGGATGGGCGGTGATCGTGACGGACGGGTGGGGGAAAGTGGCTCGTGCGATATGGGGGCGTGTGCCCTTAAGCGCTGCTCCAGCCCAGGTCGCCCGCGACGGTGAGGACTACGCTGTGGTCTCTCTGGTTCGCCATGCTACAGTTTTCCCCGGGGCCAACTAGTATGGGGACTGTGCGGGGACCCTTGGGTATGTTTCGGACCCAGTGGGAGCTGTGTGTCCAGATAATGCTCGATCGCATATGTGGCAGCATGTGTACGATAAGCTTGACGGTGTGCGGTGGCATAAAGTGCCAGTCCATAGCACCTTCGTGATGTCGAGAATGGGAAGCTCAGTCAGCTTGAGTATCTCGGCAACAAGGCTGCGGACGAATATGCGAAGAAAGGTGCCTCTTCGGGTAGAATCGCTGCGATCGTGACGTCGTCGATGGTTGCTTCGAGTTGGCCCGTCTTCTTTGTAAATTCTCTGCTGAGCAAGAGGCTCGGATTGGAGACAGCCCGCAGTTCGACCATGTCGGCATCGATTGGCTTAGGCACATCACCCTTGAGGTCCCTCCTCTCCCTGACGAGGTTCCTCCACCTCCTCCTCCTGAGCCTCCTCCTCCTGGGAGTGGCGGGACGGGTCGGGAGTCGGGGAGGGTGGGTGAGAAAGGTAAGGAGGGCAGGGCCGAATGGCCCGACCTCCATGTCTGGCCAGCCCGCGCCCACCACATCATCGAGTGTGGGGTCACGGACCCCTCGGGGGCAGCGGCTGGCTCCCTGGCCTTCTGTGCTCGCTGCGGCTCAGTTTGTGCCGTAGGAGGGCACGGGGGAAAAACGGCTCTAGCGTCAGATTGTCTGGGCCACCGTTCCTCGGGTCGTGAGAGGCAGTTGGATTGGATTTCGCGCGGTCGCCATCCTTCGAAGCAAGGGTTTCGGGTCTCGCGAGCGGCCGTGTTATCGGATCCCTCTCGAGACTACCTGGCAGCCAAGATGGGTCTGGACGACCTCCCGCGGCTAGCGCCGCCTCTGTCCAGAGGCTCTCTTGCGTCCATGTCGGGCGGGGGTGGGTGTGCTTGGGCGGGGACTGGGGTCGACCTTCTGCGAAGCCTGTCACTTTTTGGGTTCCGCTCTCGGGAAGAGGCGGAGTCGCTCGGGCTTCGAGCGCAAGAGCGCCGCCGGCAGGTTGCGCCGCCCGGGGGGGATCTTGACCCCCCCTAACTCGTTTGGAGTTTGTTTGGTGCATGTTTAAAGTGGTGGCACCTTTCTAGCCGTTGCCGAGCTCCTCCTCCTCCTCCTCCTCCTCCTCCTCCTCCTCCTCCGCCTCCTCCTCCTCCGCCTCCTCCTCCTCCGCCTCGCCTCCTCCTCCTCCTCCTCCTCCTCCTCCTCCTCCTCCTCCTCCTCCTCCTCCTCCTCCTCCTCCTCCTCCTCCTCCTCCTCCTCCTCCTCCTCGTGACACCTGGCACCTGATGGCCACATAGTCGACCGACGAAGCCTCCTCCCCCTCCGGGCCGGTCGTCCCTGAGGGGGGGGCTGATCCAATGGATGCCCGTTGGCCCCTGAAGCAGTGCTCCAGGGATCACCGCCTGGTATCTGTAAGGAGAGAAGACAGGGTAGAAAGACAGACAGACAGCCGAGAGGTGAGGACGGAGAACGGAGGCCTCATATGAGAGAGGAAGGAATGGGCTGGGGTGAGCTCCCTCCTCATCCTCCTCATCTGTTTGGAAGGTATGGATGGGCTATTGTCCACGTCGATGCTTTTGGGCAGGTGGATGCTGTCCGCTCAGGGACACTGCCGACGGCCCGACAGTCTGCGGCGCGGTCCAGATTGTACGCCGTGCTGCAGTCTGCTCGAACCACAGTTGGAGATTGCCGAGTCGTCTGCGATTTGTTGTTGGTGGTTAAAGGTTCCCGTCAGACTCTGAAGGCCAATCGAAAACAACCCTTGAGCACCGTGTTGTGGTTAAGGAAGGGGGGCTTTATTCACGCGATCTGGAGAAAAGGACACCCCGCCCAGTCCCGCAGACGGAGTATGGTTTTGTCAGATGTTGAGTTCTATCTCAGTCGAGCCGTTGATTTGTCCGCAGATGAAGCTACAGTTCGTGGACAGCCTAGTGAAGAGCATAGTGCTCAGACATTGCGGCAGGATCAGCTCGCGGCCTAAGTTTGGGGGCGAGTTCTGGCCAGCCAGCGCGAAGTCATGTTCGCGACGGAACGCGGGAGGGGCCACCGAGAGCCCCAGCGTGTCCGAGGTCGTTCCGCCCTTTGCTTGATCCTGGCCATTCCCCTGTCGCGAGCAAGACTGCTATCCCTTGTGAGCCGTGTGCCCAGAATGTCTGCTTGAGGGGATAGCTTTAGGTCGGGCATGTCCCCCTACAGGCGGATTTTCGACGAAAAGTTACAAATGCCCCAAACATGATCAAAACAAATTCAGGAATGGTCAAACAATGGTCCCCAGGCTTTGTTTTGACTATTTGTTGGAATTCTCCTCCTGCAGAGAGGGACAGGCCCGACTTACGGATAGCTGTCTGGCAGTTGGCCCTCCCGTGGTGAGGCTGCGGGCGCGAGAGTCGGCGGCGAGGGGTGCCCCGAGGTCGTCCCCGAGCTGCCGCTGGACGCCCGAGGCACACGACCCGAGAGCCCTCTCGAGGCGCTCCTGGGAGCCGAGGGAGCGCTCCTTTGGAGGCCCTCTCTGGGCCATCTCGGAGCCCTCGTGGAGGCCTCGGCTCAAGGACCCCACATCCCAAGAACAACTTCGGGCACCCGGAAAGGTGTCGAGGGAGCCCTCTCGAGGCGCTCCCGGGGAGCCGAGGGGGCGCTCTTTTGGAGGCCCTCTTCGGGGCCATCTTGGAGCCCTCGTGGAGGCCTCGGCGTACGTTGGGCCTCTTGGAGGCCTCTCTGGGGCCATCTTGGGGCCCTCTTGGAGCCCTCTTGGAGGCTCTCTCTGGAGCCCTCTTGGAGGCCCTCTTCGGGGCCATCTCGGAGCCCTCGTGGAGGCCTCGGCTCGCGTTGCTCCCCTCGTGCTCAAGGACCCCACATCCCAAGAACAACTTCGGGCACCCGGAAA